GAAAGCGGCTGTCACTGCATGTGAGTACTAAACTAAGTTCTCAGTCACACATAAGTTTAAGTTAAAAACACACCAGTTACAAAAACAGTTGGTTATGTCTGTGAAGGTAAACAGCTGGGAAATAAATCGCTTGTTTATTTTAGATCTGTGTGGCAGCAGCAATATACAGTAGCCTAAATAAATCAATAAATCCACTGCTCTCTTGTCTCCTCTGAGGCTGGGACTCTAAATAGTGTTCTGTGCTCGTCTGTGCAGCCAAAGACAGAACAGTTAGCATGTTTTGCTCAAACTTTCGCCATGGCATTAGAGCTGGTACACTGTTGTCGCTTGCGAAATCAAAATGACAGCGCCGTGGGTGGAAACTTACAGATTAAGGGGTGGTGATATTATAATGAGATCCCTTTGCCACGTCACCAAGGGAGCGAAATCAGACGCGCTCGTTTTCTCAGACGCTTGCAGAAAAAGGCTTCCCAAAACAAAGTGATTGGGTTAATCTTTTTCACGTTTCCTTGGTTGGTAGATGCACCAGCGACCTGATTATAGCACTTAAAACCTGGAAAAGTCAGATTTTCATGATATGTCACCTTTAATGTAATGAACTTCTCCTTTAAAAAGCATTATTTTTGTTTGCAGTTTGTAATGTACCAATGTTAGAATGTAATGTGATTTTAGCCCCCTTTTTGAACACAATGGATTGCATAGCTTACTTTAACTATATTTGTTTTTATTGTCTTTAATATAAACATTGTTTCATTGAACAGGATGTTAAAAAAACTATATACAGTGGGTACGGTCTGAATACTTAGGACCATGTGATATTTCAGTTTTTCTTTTTTAATAAATCTGCAAAAATGTCAACAATTCTGTGTTTTTCTGTCAATATGGGGTGCTGTGTGTACATTAATGAGGAAAAAAAATGAACTTAAATGATTTTAGCAAATGGCTGCAATATAACAAAGAGTGAAAAATTTAAGGGGGTCTGAATACTTTCCATACCCACTGTATATATATATATACACAAAATGTAGAAAATACAGAGATATATACAGTATATCACATTTCAGCCAGAAAAAAATTAAATACAGAGATATGAAATTTTGGCCATATCGCCCAGCCCTACAAACAGGTGTGCCTAGTTAGTACTTGGGTGATTGAGTGCGCTGAGTGGTGGAAGAGCCTGGCGTCACCGTGACAAATTAACAGCTCTGCGCATTACATCAAGAAAAAATATATAAACTCAGATGTTTTAGTTAAATCGTGGGGGAAAAAAAGTTATGTTTTTTTTGTTTTTTTTAAAGATTAATTAATACTTTGTTCTCACATTTTAACTGAAACTGGAACGATTTAATAAAAAGTGATCAACATAATTCATGACTCATGATAATATTATTATGTAAGAAAGATGGATTGTAAAACCAGGTCAAGACTAAGAAAAGAAAAAAATGTCCATGTTTCACAAACAAACATTATATATTGTTTTGTGTGTAATATGAGTCTTAAACTAGGACTGTGTGATCTTTATTTCCACTGGAATGAACATTACTGCAATCCTTTAAAAACTCAAATTCAGTATAAACGTACTTTGTGTCTTTATTGAAACTCGGTGCTCTCTGATATTTTTATTTGAGACTAGTACACCATCAATGTGGAATAAATATGTATGTATGTATGTTGATGTGTCTTACATATGCATAGGTATCCAATGATGTTGCATGAGCAAAGAGGTAGTAACAGTAAGTAGGCAACTATTCTCCAGCCAACATTTTAGCCACTTGTGAACAAATATTGTGGGATTTTCTTCAAAGCTATAAGCCATTATTTGGTGTGGCCCTCTGTTAGAAAACACTCTCTGTCTTTTTAAGAAATTATTCCAGAAATGCCTCACCCCTCCTTTTCTTCTCTCCTTCTCTCACTCGTTCCCTATACAGCATTCTCTCTCTGAATCCCCCCTCCTGTATCCTTTTCTCTCTCTTGTATTATGCTTTAAATATCTCTTACTCATATGCGAGGTATGCATGCGCAAATGTATACATTAGCTTTTCTTGGTTTAAATGCCCAAATAAGGACATGAATGCTAGGACTACAAGGGTAAAGGAGTTCGTGAGGAACTCGGAAGAGAGTTCAGCATCCTTCGCAAAAGTCTATTCCTAATATGTCCATGTTTTTCTGTACATGTGGCCATTTTATATAAACACATGTTCTTGGCCAAAGATCCTATATGTGTATGTCATTCATATCCTCATTGGTTAAGAGGGTGAAACTCCCCTCGACATATGCCTATATAATATCTTTGTATCTATGAATAAATTGAAGTATTGAGAATACATTTGAATGTGTGTTTTCTTGCTTCCCGGCCGTATACACTTTAAGGAATTGAGAATTCTTCAAGGCGGCAAAGAGATATCGAGGGACCAATTGTTATTTTTATTAACACCCTCTTTGCTTAATTTAATTTGTCTCAAGTTCACTTTTGTACAGTTTGTAGTTGGACGGTAGATTGATCCAGTATCTCAGAGAAGTTGCTGGAATTCTGTGGATCTACAGCAGTGGTATTCAATTAAAGTTCAAAGGGGTCCCGTTTCTATATTTCCTTCCCTCCACTTATTGTCTGGACAATAATTTTTGAGAATAGTTGTCCATTTTTATGTGCGCAGGAATTAATAGTTATAATAATTATACAATATGTAATAATAATAAAATCCTAAACATTCAAAATAGTTTTCATAATGAGGATTAGTGGAGCCCAGAGACAGACAAAGCAGGGGTGTTTGTCACTGAATTTTTCAGACTATATATATATATATACACATATACAGGTGCATCTCAATAAATTAGAATATCGTGGAAAAGTTCATTTATTTCAGTAATTCAACTCAAATTGTGAAAGTCGTGTATTAAATAAATTCAATGCACACAGACTGAAGTAGTTTAAGTCTTTGGTTCTTTTAATTGTGATGATTTTGGCTCACATTTCACAAAAACCCACCAATTCACTATCTCAACTAATTAGAACCAGGGGTTTTCAACCTGTGGGGCCCCAGGGGGCGCAAGCATCAGTTAATTCAGAGACATTCCCTTGAGGATTTATGAATACGAGTTAGCAAATCTTTAGCCATCCACTAGGGGGAAATCTGACTCCCACTGCTAGTCGACAGTTAGAGCGGAGTTGGCTCGAGTATGATTTTGGCTCACATTTCACAAAAACCCACCAATTCACTATCTCAACTAATTAGAACCAGGGGTTTTCAACCTGTGGGGCCCCAGGGGGCGCAAGCATCAGTTAATTCAGAGACATTCCCTTGAGGATTTATGAATACGAGTTAGCAAATCTTTAGCCATCCACTAGGGGGAAATCTGACTCCCACTGCTAGTCGACAGTTAGAGCGGAGTTGGCTCGAGTATCAGTCACGCTTATCGACAGCGGAAATCCAACCATGGATTGGCATGTTGTTATCTCAGAAACAGGCTCAGCCATCACAATGAATCAGGTAAACTGGTTATATATTCATGTCCTAAAAGGTTGAAAACCCCTGTGCTAGACCGACCACCAAAATGGTGTGCATTTGTGTACAAAAACGTCCTATTTCATTGGCTGGCTCCAACCAATAAAACGACTTGACTACTTTTTTACCATTATTTAAAATACTGTAAAAACTAAAGATATTTAAGGAAAATAATTTCCAAGCATTTAAAAAAATAAACTGATACATATGTATCACGCTGGCTGGCGTTGTTCATTGGTCAGGCATGGATAATTAAAATCTGACAGCTTGATGGGTTATTTAAAATAAGACAGATTTTAGCACAGATTATATGCTGCCATTTTTAATAAAGATAACCTGGGAAAATGTTAATCACATTAACATTTAGAAGAAATTATATCAACCATTTTAAAGATTTCCATTCAGACAGTCAAAATCAACTGTTTTAAAAAAAAACCTACCATTAATGTAATCCTTTATTATAATGCACTTTAATTAAATAAAGCTGAAATTTGATTTATTGCCTTTATATATACTGGGGAGGAACTGAGATTGAATAAGAGTAATACATTGACATGAGAATTCAGTTTCAGTTGATTAAATAGTTAAACCTTTTGGTATCTTTTGCTAGCTCTGCAAGTCATCCTTCGATCGGCCGTATATTTGTTTTCTGTAAAATGACTTTCGCGAAAACAACTTTTAGTTTGGTCTGGCGGTGTGACGTAACAAGGCTGCGCGCGCTCCCGCGTCTGTGATTCGGCTGAAGAAAGGTTTGTGTTTTTAATAGTTGAAGTGTTTCAATAAACTAAACTCGTTTAGAGATTTATATATTAAACTGTTAAATTATTTATTAACCTGTGTAACACTGTAATGATTTATCTTGTGTTAAGGGGTATTTTATGCGTGTAAAGCGCATCCTATATAGTGAATCACTTCGGTTACTGGCAAGTAGTGTCGGAGAAACGGATCTTTTTAAAACTCAAATGAATCAATTTAATCGCAAAATGATTCAGTGAATCGAATCGCTCGAATCAGCGCACGCTGACTGTCACCTGCTCAAAACAACAAACAAACTTGTGCAATGAAAACTTTTACAAACCAGCTGCCAATGTTTTCATGAAAGTGGAGTCTATTAAATATAACCTACGAGTCAGTAAATACCAAATATACATTTTAATATAAATGTGAACCTTGTATATAATTTGTGTCCTTTTATTAATTTGAATGCTAGTTTTTTTTTTTTTAATTCTCACTCTGACTCCCTTACTAGTGCGCTGGCTACTGAACTATAGGGAGCTGATTGAGACACACCCAGAGAATTAGTTTGGATTTATTTGTCTTTCTGTTAATTCTTCTCATCTTAAACAGGACAGAGTGTCCAAACACAGAGAGAAACTCCTGCTGAAGCAACTGAGACACGTGACACACTATTATAAAGATGGAGTTTATTAAAGAGGAGAGTGAAGACATGAAGATTGAAGAAACATTCAGAGTCAAACATGAAGATACTGAGGAACAAACAGGTTGGTTTTCATTCTCAGAAATATATAAAAGTAATACATTAGTAGCCTAAACCAAAAATGTATTTTGTGTAACATTAAACCCAATATCTGATTACAAAACAATGAAAACTGTATCTAACAAAAATATTATTTTGCATGAAGAAAAAAAAAAAAGCCAACTTAGTTTGGCATTTGTTTTATTAGATTTTTTAAAAATTCATCCTCAAAAGTGATGTACTAACATTTTAACAAACCTTAATGTACTGTAAATAGCAATAAATGTTCATTACAACACATAATAAACAAGTCATATGTTCAAAACAACAGCCTACTTATAATAATAAATATAAAATAGTAAAACATTTCTCCAGCTGACACAGTTTGATAGATTCACTGCATGCCGATTATCTTTGCCCTTCATTTTAAAGATCTTTGGTGAGCAAATAATACAGTCAGTGACCAGTAACTTCATAATGAACTGCAGCATAATAAAATCAAACTTCATGTTTATGAGTGACACAAACAGTTGATATCAAAGACCTCAGTAGTGCACTAAAGAAAACATCTGTTGTGCCTGTCACATCTTATATCAAGCTCAGTATTATCATCAGAAGTTAATGTAGGATGAGTGATACTTCTCAATTGATCTCTTGTAAAGAGAGACTGAGACCTGGGGCCCGTTCTTCGTATGTCACTAACTCAGTTAGCTGGATTTGATTGTTGACGATTTGGCGTGATCTTGGATTGTTTGGTTCTTCGAAGATCATCCGTAAAGAAAACATCTGTTGTGCCTGTCACATCTTATATCAAGCTCAGTATTATCATCAGAAGTTAATGTAGGATGAGTGATACTTCTCAATTGATCTCTTGTAAAGAGAGACTGAGACCTGGGGCCCGTTCTTCGTATGTCACTAACTCAGTTAGCTGGATTTGATTGTTGACGATTTGGCTTGATCTTGGATTGTTTGGTTCTTCAAAGCTCATCCCGGAGTTGCTGTTTTAGCAACAGGTCCGTGAGCTTAAACCTGCTCGGGAGCGGCTTATTTCATGTAAACAGGATTAGATCCTATCTTTTTAAGCAGAATTGATATTTAAAATCTGTCCGTTATCACCGTGACTTTATTACAGGAGTATCCTACTGATCCAGGGACAATAATTTAAAATGATAATCATTTAAAAATTAATTGAAAGATAATATAATAATTTTATGTAGTCTTTAATACTATAGACACTGAGAGATTTATTCGTCATAAAATGAACACATTTTAGGTTGGAAGTCAGATGTCCCATATTACTGTTTACACTGACATTAAAGGGGTCATATGATGTTGCTAAAAAGAACATTATTTGGTGTATTTGGTGTAATGAAATGTGTCTATGTGGTTTAAGGTTTAAAAAACACATTATTTTCCACATACTGTACATTATTGTTTTTCCTCTATGACCTGCCTTTCTGAAACCCATCGATTTTTACAAAGCTCATTGGTCTGAAAAGCGAGGTGTGCTGTGATTGGCCAGCTATCCAATGCGTTATGATTGGCCGAATACCTCAAGCGTGTGACGAAAATTTTATGCCCCTTACCATACTGTGATGATGCCCTGTCAGGCCGGAGCAATGAGACAAAAACATGAAAACCCATTATAAACTAGGCATTCGTTGCATCCAGTGGGGACATAATTATGGATTATAATGACTTATACTGTCTTTTTACGCGTTGCATCACGCCGCGTAAACATAAAACCATGTCTGCATTTGTGATCGGAGAAACGACAAACAACAAGTGCTACTCCACACTGCTCAGAACTCGCGTTTGAATCGTCAGTGGCAAATTCTTTAAATATGAAAAACTTACTTACAGGCTGTGAGTCAGAAGCCGCCAGACTGTCCTTGCAAAGTGTTTTATAGAAACAGTCTTTGTGTATAGACGGCATTGTAGGCTACTCTGCAGGATCAGGAAACAGTCCTCCATAAAATGTGCTGCAC